TATATATGCAAAAAGCTAACGTAAAGTACAAGGAGCAAGAACCCCCCGACCACCCGAGTGACTAAGCGCGGTTAAAGCAAGCATGTACGCCGCTCCGAGCACCCTAGTGCGGTCCATGACAGGTGTTACCTCACAGTTGGTCCCATACTAATCTATATATGTATATAATGCGCGAAGGCATTTTTTGTGCAGGATAAAAGATCTGCACTGTTCGCTCGATTTTCAAAAAGCGGGTGTCAAATTAAAGCGCTTGGCCTGTAGATGGAAAAGAGTTGCCACCTGTTGAACAATTAAGTTCCAAATATTTAATAATCACTGCCCTCATATCTGCACCGTTCGTTCGATTTTCCAAAATGAGGTGTCAAGTTAAAAGGCTTGGACTGTAGTTGTGCAATAAGGTTTAATTTTTTTGAAAAGATTTACCACCTTTTAAAAATTTATATTCAAATTAGATAATAAAAAATAATAAATGAATTATTACAAAATGATTATCAACCGAAATAGTTTTGAAAATCTTTGTTTCCTAGCTGAACTATAGGAGAGTTGCCACCTGTTCAAAAAATCATATTAGGTAAGAGAAATATGTATCACCATATGAGTACCAAACGAAAGAGGTTTCAGAGAGTAGTAGCTTGAAAATATTTTTAATAGAGTTGCCACTTCCTTGAAATGTCGAGTTAAATTTACTTATACACAAGTTATATGAAACATCAAAATACGGATGTCAAACGAAGGAGTGTTAAGAAATATTTAATTTAAATGCTAAGAATATTTTTGAGGTGTTGAAAGAGGGTTGCCACCAGTTTAAAAAGTTAACTTTAAATTATTTAATAAGTTTAATGAATTATTAAAATATGGGTATCAATCGAAGGGCGTTTGAAAAACTTTTATTGCTGAGCTGTACTTAGCGGGTTTGACATATTTTAAAAAAATCAAATTCCACTAATTCATCAATTAATTAAAATATATATCGCAATGCCAGGCGAAGGAGAGTTAACAAGGATTAAGCTTGAAAACTTTTGAAGAAATAAGAAATATAAAAATACCGTAGTCAAACGAAAGAATGTTAAGAAGTCTTTAGTTTGACCATTTGGAATTTTCGAAGGGGGTTGCCACGTGGTTAAAAAGATACAACTCTGACTAAGTTTTGGAATATTTTTTAAGTTTTTTAAATTAAGTGTTGGGCGTTTTAACGCCATGCGGGTTCACTAGTTTGGTTTAAATCCCATCATTTAATCATGACGATATTAACGATAATTCTAAATATTTATGAGAATTGAAGTCGTATTTTTTTCGCTTAAAAATTTTTTTCGGTTAACAAATTTTATTTGATCAACAAAATAAGGCACAAAAAAAACCTACTTACCTTTATCTTACTACCTTCCACCGACATATTCTTTATGGTAACCACTTTTTCCGTCATTTCGCCTCAAGCAATATTTTTTTTTATTTCGTAATAAAATTTACAGCCACAATAATTAAACTGAGCAAAAAAATATCCTTTTTAGACTCTATATTAAATGGGTATTAGTTCTTCATACTTAATTTTACAATATTCTTTTTCACTTTAACTACAAAAAACTATGTATTTCAATTGGAGCACCAACATTTAACTTTAAACAGCACAAAAGTCAATGAGAAACTAAAGTTCTTAAGGTAAATGCGAATTTAAATAAGTAGAGTATTGTAGCGATGTATGTATGTATGTTGTGCACATGAAATTGATGCTAACCGCATCCTAAAGACAGTCAGTCGGCTACTAACTAATATATAGCCGCTAGTCAGCCGGGCCCTTTTAAATAAAGCCGAGTCGTGGTCGCAAGTGTAAATACGAGTACTTTGTTTATTCGTAACTGTTCTTGTATATAAAGTAATTTACATACATACATATGTGCACGCAATTGCAGGTATTTATTCATGTACGTATGTGTGTAAATCAGTAACATTTGAACAATGTTTAACTGTACTTACTTATGAGCCGTTCAGTGCACACATCGGCTAACTCCACTTTTTGACAATCGTAAATTTAAGTGTCAAAGCATTTGGTATGGTCATAACCTATTTATAAAAAAATTATCTATTTGATTTTATAATATAAATGGAATTTTAAAAAAATAATGTACATTATTTGATCGCATCTGCCAACTTTTTGTTGATGGAGTATTGGATAGTGTGATATGCAAAGCTTGCTGTTGCTTTTATGCTTTCTTTACCGAGTTCAGAATAACATATTATTCCTTCTTGTATTTGATAAGTTGCAATAGGTATTTTCGGTTCAATTTTTAATATAAATTTTAGAAGCTCGTTTGTCTAGCACCGGGGCGTATGCGTAACTTCCCAACAATTTTTAGCTGCAATTTTAGTAAGGAATAGGAGAAGTAAGTATGTTAAATGTACATATATGCATATGTACATCCACCCTTATAAATTTAAAACTGTTATAGTAAATTATGCTCTAATTTGGCAACTGATGACGTTTCTATCAAAAAATGTTGCTCTTTCATGGTGCAAAATGTGTGTGCCTTACAAGAATGTGACCGGTTGCCCTTATTTTACAATCGAACACGAAAAGAGAAAGGGGCAATCAAAATACGACACTTTTTGGTTAGTAAAATGATTTTATAAGAAAAAGCGATGCACGCCGCTATTATACTCGTACATATTCCCCGACGCATTAGATTATTTTTCTGACAATCACTGAGGCTTAGTTCCATGAGTGTAGAGTATGATAAAAGTTTAATTTTTTTGAGGCTTTCAATAATTTAGCTTATTACCACCATTCAGTATATTATTTGGAGGGTAGCTAAATGGCAATTTTTTGGCAAAAAAAAAAATATTTAAATTCTACTTTTAGTTTTTCAGTCATAAGCTAAAGTTCGCGTTTTGTTTTTTCAGTCAAAAATTTTTACTTCTATTTTTTCATTCAATATAAAAGTTAAAAATTTATTTCAGTCAAAGAAACATATTATGACGAATTTCCACTAGACATTGAAATAACCAAAATGAACTTAATGACAATTTTTTTAATGTAATGACACAATTATTTTTTAATGCCCGACTCTGTCATTTGTCATTTTTGCCATTTTATGCCAAGTGGAAATATAGCATTTAACTCAACTTTATTTTTTCTAACAAAAATAGAACTTAAAATTTTAGAATGAATTGTTTAGGGATATATATTAACAGAATATAGAGAAGTGCAATTAAAAGGGACTGCATTTTTACTTTGATTGTTTTTTTTTTTCAATTAAAATTTATCGAAAAAAGTCAAATTTTAACTTTTATTTTTGACAGAAAAGTAAGCGCGCCTGGGTCACACTGGAGAAGTGGAACTTAGATTACATATCTAGTTTGCCTCATACCCAATATATGTGCATAAGTATGTACCTCCTAATTTTATTCGTTTTTATGAGAAATATTATTGCCACTTTTTATAGATTTTTTTCAAGGTCATTTAGAGGTTGCGACCTGTCGATTTAGGTCAGAAATACTATTTTGTAGATTTATAAGTTTTTGAATGACTATTTTTGATGCGATTTCAAAGATCGAATATGAGCTGAGAGGAGGATATATATGCTTTTAAAATGGTTTATAAAAATCTATTGCCTAGTCCAGACTTGTTGGGATATTTTATAGGATAAATTAAGAAAAGATCCCCATTTCTCTATCTACAGCCTCAAAATATGGAGTACTATCTAAAATAAATCTATTTTTAAATAAACTGAGGGCTCATTTATTGCAATCGCGTAAAAGTTGTCAAAGTTAGGCGACTTTTCCTAACTACGCCTAGAATTTATATTGTTAAATAGGTATGTGTATCTCAAAAACTACTTGACCGATCTGAACCGGTCTCTAATCCTTGTCTAATTCACGTCGATAAGGAAGATACATGCATTTGTATGTACATTAGAGATGCCGTTTTAAAATCGATTAAATCGAAGATCAACAAATCTAGCCCTTCCGATTTGACTTTTTGTCGATTTATTAGTTCTATTTTGACAACTCAGTTTATGTTTTACTGCACTATTTCCATTGGGTAAAGATCGATCTGATTGGCTTGATGCCATTTTGAAAGTGATTTGTTAAGATAGCAAGTTGCCCACATAAGAAAACGGGATAAAGTTAAATAGAAATTTGGCAGATGTTGGACGTGGGAAAAGAATTTATGAAGTTTTTTTTTTAGTATGTTTTAAAAATTACTCACAATAAAAGTTTGGCCAGATTGCCGTGTTTCGTTTCATTATAAAAATTAAGTTAAAAACGTTATTTGGAAGATCGATTTATTTTTTTTTACTTCTTCTTCCTGCATCGATTATTTTTATTCCGTTGCGAATTCGTTGCAAAAATCATTTTTTTCGATCTGGCATCTCTAAGGTCCATGAGTATATATCTACTTTGATGTCCACGCGGCTAACAGCGCTTTGGCCTGGCTCACCGTACCCTCAAAATTATTCAGCGAAAGCCAAAACATATTCCTCTTGGGCTCAGAAAGCCGCCACTCTCAATTCTGGTGAGAACGTTGTCATTGTTCAATTAAGCTTCGCGCATTTAGACTAAATATTTATTTAGATTCTTACTGTAACAACTTGTGGGACGGCGATGTGGAATCATCTGAACGCTTCCACTCAGTTTGACTAAATTTTACCAACTGCACTATCTAATCAAACCGAAGGATCGAAAACTGCAGACTGCGTCCTTGGCAGAATTAAACTGCCTACCTATCACCCAAATTTAACCACATCACGACTTCTTGTTTAGCAACTATTATTCAAACAAGTAATTTTAAAGTAAACAAGTAATTTTTAAGCAAAAAACAAAGTCGACTTCAATTCTTATACAAAAATTTAAGAAACAAATTTAACGATAGTTAATTTCTTCGTGATCCATTGATCGGATTTAAACAAAATTAGTATGGGACCACCTATGAGGTAACACATTTTCTTGAAAAAAGATTTATAGAAATCGTGGTTCAAAAACATATTACGTATATTATGCGAAATTTTATAATTATATTTTTCATCGATTATTCTGTTACATTAAATTTGCAGACACTATCCATAAGAGTATCCAATGCACGAACAAAAGTTGGCGAACTGTGACCACTCAATGTCTCCACAAAATATCGTTTGACTTCGTTTGTATAAAGCTGCAGTAAAAGGCGAAAAAGATGTTTTAATACAAACAATTAAACTAAAATCAAAGACTAAATAGCCTGTCATTTTATGATATGGATCATTTGTGCATACTTCAGGTATGAATATTAGGGCGGATCAGTGGTTTGGAGTATGCGCGTATAGCATAGCAGGATTCTTCGTGAAATTCTAAGCAAATTTTGCAAAGAAACCATAAGTCTAAAATCAATTTGGAGTTTAACAAATTGCCATAGTAGGTTTCGCAGAAAATTTGTAAATTTTCACTATAGCGCCCTCTAGTGGAAATTTTGAGAAAAATATAAGTGAAAAAATTAAGCACTTCTTTACTATTTTAGAAACAGGGGTTCTTTATCAAATTTTCTTAGAATTACATGTAGAATCCTTCTGTGCTATAGGCGCATAGTCGAAATAATCTCCCATACAAATTGACACGCCGTAATGAATATATGTATATGTACATATCGTCACCTGAAATGCAAAAGGACGTAACAATATCGTAAATGAAATGGAAAAAGTCGTGACTAATTTTTTATTTTTTTTTTTCATAAACTAATGTGGGGTAATTCGATGAAATCCATCATATAAATCAAAACGCGAATTTTGAATTTCTTATTAGTTATGACTTTTTCAGGTGGCAATATGTATGTGTGTACATCTGAGGTCTACAAATGCGTGTGGAAAAGTCCAAATTTTAATGCTCCCACCCCATGCGGTTGTTCTATACCGAAAAAAGTATATCATCCCTATTGCGAATGTCGACTGGCAGTAAATAAACGACTACTAAGCGATTATCGATTATCGATGCTATTGCGAGTGTCGCTTAGTCGCTCAATTAGCGACTGTGAATACTTTTTAATCGCTCATCCTTCTATTGCTGTTTTTTAGTCGTTGGAGTTTGCGTTTATAAAATTTACATAAGAATGTGGTACTATAATGGATAAAAAGTAAGCCAATTGAACTGGACGTTGTAAAAAATTGCGAAATATACATATGTATGTATGTGTCTGAATTACCGATCAAAAATTATAATCAACAAAAGACAACTTGCGCGGTTGGGCGTGCTGATGCAGGTGAGTGAGGACATAGGCAAAGGAATTTCCGGAAAGAGGAGGGGAGGAAGCTCTGCTTCTATTGGGAAAGATACATATACAATATTTCTTGTGCATATAACTCCGGCTACGCCATCCACAGTGTTTTTGCGCAGAACCAACATCAAAAGTTTATACAAAAAAACTGCATAATTTATTAATTGACTAGTGCTCGGAAATTTGAAATCTTTATTTTAAATTAAAGTTGAATTCTTTCAATACACTTGTTATGTTGTTATGTTAAAGTTTTTAAACTCGGGTCACGCGTTTGGACACAAAAACCCAACATCATTGTACAAAAAACTTAACCGTACCGTATTTCTTAAACTTCCATAAAGTTTATTAATGAGGAAAACAGCTTTTCCTGAAAATCATGTAAAGCCAAAAAACCGTGAAGCATCGGGAACGCAACTTCTATTCATAAAACTCACATATGTACATACACTTCAGCTTCCAATTCCAAGGGATCCGACGAATCTCGTAATTCCCTCCTTGCTTTAGCCAACTCTACTAATCTATTAGCTTCCACATCATCTTCCTCATCACTAAACCATAATTCAACAGTGTCCATTTTCTAAATTTTATAATAAAAGCAATTATTTTAAAAATTATGTAAATAAAACACTCAAAAACAAATGTAAACAAACAAACAGCTGTTTACAATTCTGTCAACCATTCACAATAGTACAAATTTTTATCGATCAAGTTACACAATCGCAAAATAAAAGATGATCGACTCGATCGACAAATTTCTATTCTACTGCCAGTCGACACTCGCAATAGGGGCCTATATATATATTTTTTTTTTTAAATCAAAAAATGTTTAGAGGTCGCTCAAAGCGCTCAAAATTTGCCTTGTATTTTGTATGGAGAAAAACAATATTTCGTAGAAATGGTAGAAGAGATCTCTTCAAAAACCAATATTTCTCGATCGAAAAACTCTGTTTGTCTTCAGAAGTCTCCCAATAATAATGCCCAATTGTTTATTTTTCCATTTTTTAATACAAACGATTTTTGTGTGTCCCCCCATCGCATTTTATGGAATACATACCTGTATTTTTTTCGGTCTACATGGAGCAATCCTACTACTCTTAGGACAGCTATACTGATAAGAAAGACGCTGTATCTTGGAACGCAAGTCAGAGTGCGTTAGGTAAAACGAAGAATTACATTGAAGATAGCACAACGCCGATGGTTTTTTCCATACGAGGCCATGCACTCTACCGACCGAGTTTTGCGTCAAACAGACCAAGCATGGACCAAAAGACCGGACTCATACTTTTCTCCCTGAGATTGATTAGATCTACGGAATTTGTTACGTCTAATCTTCCTATGGGGCCCCACAGTCGTATCCGCTATACAGATGCAAATCTAAGACGATTTCCATAATATCCTGAACAGTGTAATCAACCAAATCTGGCATATGACTATGGGCTGGTTGCTCCAACTCAACTTGGCGGCATATGTTGTTGGAAGGAAGTCCTATTCTAAGAGCATGATTTCCAACCGGCTAATAGCCGCTTGACCTACTTAACAGCTTTGCTGTTATTTTCCTGGCCAAAGTCGTTTTCGTTTTCTACGGCCCGACTATGTGAGTCTTTATTTTTTTGTCGGAACCAGGCACCAACAACGCGTGCAAAAAACATCACCCAGACTATATACCGTCCATTGTACTGTTTTCATGTCAAAGACCTCAGGTGTTCGTTTCCCAACACATCGCGGCCAAATGTCTCATACCTCATTATTGCAAAAGTGAGGCAGAAGGGCAAAAGGTGTTCCACCGTCTCATCCTCTTCAAGGTAGAATGGGCAAATGCAGGTGTCATTTACGTTTAACACAGTCAAGTGTTTGTGCCACGTGAAGTGGCCAGTCAGCAGTCCAACAAGTCGTCTGCAGTCCTGTCTGCTCAGTGAGAGCAAAAAACTAGTCAGATGTCTCATTGCGAGAGGAGAGTGGCCTGGCACCCAGAGTAAAACCAGCTCGTTATGTTTGCCAACATAATTTAGTCGAGACTTGTATTGCCGAACTAATTTGTTGGTATTATATCAACATCCGTTTATTTTTAGTCAAAGTGACGGTAGCAGTGCATCAAGAGCAGCGCTAGGTGTTGGAGAGAAAGCACCCGTACAGCACACGGCAATAGTTTTTTGAAGTTTAGCAAGCAGACTTTTCAGGCTCTTGATTGAGAGTCTGCTCCACCATACCACTGACGCATAGCTGATTATGCGTCTAGAAGAGAATCAATACCAGGCACCAGAGCAAAGGGGAAAGCACACAATCCTGAGAGCAGCCCTTGTTCACTCCGTACGTGACATATTGACCTCCTTCTGCCTGAATCCTGATGACACGCTGCGCCAGCATTAAACGAATCCAATTTAACAGTGCAGCATCTCTACCCCATGCCGTAGAGCAGAATTGTCGAAGGCGACATTGTCAAAAGCACCCTATATGTCTACAAAACTGCCCAAGGCGAATTCTTTCCTATTGATGGCATTGCTAGTTCAGGCAACTAGATTTTTCCAATCCGTCTGATAGGATTTCCCCACCTGATAGGGATGTTGATGCAAAGAGAGAGGATTTGATGAGAGCGTCTCCCTGCGAATGCGCTACTCTACTAATCTTTCCAAACATTTTAGCATGCATGATGATGCTAATAGGCCTATAGTTTCTGGAGCGAGTAAAGTCATCCTTAACAACCTTAGGTATAAAGGGGACATCAGCCAGCATCCAAGGTTGTGGTATGTAAGCAAGTACAAGTGACGCTATTAAAATCTTTTTCGAAGTCGCCAACAAAAGCCCAACACCTTCTTTAAGTACAGTAAGTAGGATGCCACCCGGACCGTGCCAATTTGAAACTGTCAAAAGACTCAATAGCATATCGTACGGCATCTTTATTCGCCATAGTTCTAGCAACAAACCAGTTATACCTTGTACCTCTCTAGTCCATGGATAGGAAGGCGTAACCATCACATGAATTCGGGGAAATTGAATCTTTAGAAGAACAGAGCGAGTCTCAACCTTAGTCTTCATTAAGGAGCCATCATGCCTCTTGAGTGAACACTGCTTTGTGGATTGGTCCATTTTCAGAACTTTTACCAGCCAAGCCGTTTGAAACCAAGGTTTCAATCCCGCTGAAGTATTCTTCGAAGAGCAAATTAGCCTCTTAAAATCTCTTTACGTGCAGTCCAACTCAAATTAGCTTTGAGGTCTCGGTTTAAAAGTTTTCTCGACTCACCCCTCAACTTATAAAGCTCCTTGTTCCACCAGGAAACATGCGTACGGCTAAGAGGTGGACGAGACGGACATGCCGTATCTAAACTGGCACGCAGGGCAGCGGTTAAATTAACCACCGCCTCATCAATGGCCTGAGTGGATCGTATCCTAGGTGGCATCGTGGTCTGGTTATTTGTCCTTTTTCAAGATTCGCATTGGCGCAGAGAAAGTAGCGTCCCCGCCAAGTTGAAAGTCGATGTATCTGTGGTCCGAGAACGAATCTTCCCTTAGGAAGTGAGTCCTACTCTGGAGCCCATGGTGATGTAGTTTAGTTACGCTACTTAGTCTACGGACATTACATTTTTTTACGTAAAGCTGGTCAGTATACTAGGGTGCCGTAGGCCCTATTATAGCGGTGTACATCCAAATCACAAATTTCAGTGCTAAGCCCCCGCTACTATCGAAGTTATAGTTAGCGATGTAAACCCTCACTTTACGTTTCTCCAAGTGGGGTTTCCAGTTTAATTTTGTGTCGAAAATGACTCCCAGATATTTCGCATTCGATTATAAGAGATTGTCTAACCACCTATAGATGGAAGTCTAAATTGGGGTATTTTATTCCTATTTGTAAACAGTATTAAATCGGTTATACTAGGGTTTTCTTATGTAATACATATAAGTTTCGTCAGTGTTTAAATATGTCGTTTCGCCGTTTTGTATGAGCAGGAGGTAGGGTCATCTTTCGCAATCTCAATAATGGCGTTACGTAAGCTGCTAGAGGTATATATGTTGCTGACGTGTTTGGAGTGTCTGTCTTTATTGTATTTTTAGCTCGGTATGTCTAGCGTCCAACGCAGTTCACTGATTCAAATCTCAGTGAGTGCCATGAGGAAGTATGCTGGGTAGTTGTGGTGATTTCCGAAATAGGTTCTATAACTTCTATCCGTTTCACTATAGAGCGTTTGTCACCAAACCCCTTACCTGCCAATGGTAGTGCGTCACATGTACAGATAGATGTTTAGCCGATACTTCTTTAAGAAGTGTCTTAATAAAACGTGTATTTTCCAACTGCTCAACGATCATTTGAAATACATCCAACACTATTTTTTGATGCTGTGCCGCAAATTCGGTATGCAATTTGCCATTACGAGTACGATACATTTCGTAGAGTTGTTCATTCTCGGAGAAGAGACTGTAATGTATAATCAAGTTTAGTATGGGTTAGCTCATAATACAGCTTTATACACTTTATATATATGGTGACGCCAGCTTGCCGTTGCTTCTTCTTTATAATATTCCAAGCATTTTGTAGTGATTTAATTTCAGTCTGCGTTAGCCCCAAATCATTTACGATTGGTTTCCTATCAAACGACTGCAATGGTTTTGGAAACACGGCCGGAAGTTTTTTCTCAGCTACGAACTCGATATATGAATCTGATTTTATTAGTAAATGAAGACTATTTAGTATTAAAGTGTTAAGAAAACTATTTCTTTTTGATTACCCATTTGTGATATCCGCTTTACGGCTAAAAAATATGTATGTATATAGTTTCATTGTCACTTTTCGGGGTAGCCTTTTCTAAAATATGACACTCCCACCCACAGGGATGGTTTTTGGAAGCAGCATAAAAAGTGGAATAATTCAATCACACTTCCTAAATGGAATTTATTTTTTTTCTTTTTCGGATTTAAACTAGTGTATTTATCATTTAGATGAATAGTTTTCTCTAATTACTTTTGTTGTTGTTGTGGTAACAGCACACAAATTCCCCAAAGAGATTTTGGGGAGTGTTGCTGGAGTGACAGTCCCTATCCAGATATAAATCTGGGTCGTTCCGGTTACGTAGACCCGACTGTCGTGGGAACGTCTAATTACTTTTAATTCCTACCGCTTTCATCACTTCCAATGGTACTATTTTTATTTCATGCAAAAGCATTTAGTTAAAACGGGACTACAATTTGTCGTGGAGCAGGCCTAGCGCCCCAAAAACACTACTGCACAAATACAGTATAAATTGTGCATATTTTGGGGAACACAATTTTATGAATCGCTATATCTCAGAAATGGTAATCCTTAAGGGTAAAAAGTTACAACAGTTTGTATGGTTAATTGCATAGTCTACACTTTTGTCTCACCTACTTTGGTGATAAACCGCACCATTTTTCTGTGCATTTGAAATTTTGATCATAATTTGCAGCTAGTCCACATAACTTTCCTGACTATCGTAGGATAAATATTGATAGTCTATCTTCTGACTTATCCCGCATTGATTGCAGTGGTTGTTGGAGCCTAAGCTCTGTAAATGAAAAGTTGAGCTTTCTACATTAAAATGTTGTAAGCTTATTTAGGGCTCATGTCCCAGTACGCACTCTTCTAAATCGAGCACCGTCGTTCCCTTGGTTCAACAAAGTTGTTCGGTATATGATTATAAATAAAACGTAACAAGTCGTACTCTATTTGGAAGAAGAACCGAACCGAACTGTGAAAAGTGCAAGTTCTTTGGTAAAATGTTAAACCCACTACTTCCGAATAATGTTTTGTGGCGTAATCTAAAAAACCTGCGTGTACATGTTAGTGACAGTCCTGATTGTTTAATTAACCCTGAAGAGCTTAATGATGTATTTGTCAATCGTGGTGTATCACCTTGTGCTCCTGCTTGCAACCCCATAATTTCCTCTCTGGTTGTGCATGTCGGCCAGACATTTGAACTCAATGCGTCAAATTACGTAATAATTTTGGTTTCGGGGAGTCTGCTGTACGACTGATGAGCAGCTACCTAGAGGGTAGGACTCAGCGTGTAAGGGTCGGTACCGAATATTCTAGTCTTATACCTCTGGTGTGCCCCAAGGCTCAATACTGGGACCGCTACTAGTAAGTTTATTTATAAATGACATTTTTAGTGCATGCAAGTCCGTGCAAATGCATGCATATGCAGACGTTATTCAGCTCTACTGGTCAGGACCCCATGACCAATCAGTCTCCTTGTGCTCTAGGTTTAACTGTGATCTGTCCTCTATACCATCTTGGGCGTTAAAAAATTAGCTTTGTCTTAACAGTGATAATTCCTATATGTTACGAATTTCTAAACGTCACATTGCCTTTTCTGCCATACCTAACCTATATATTAATAATAAGTGACTTAAAATTGTGTCAAAAGTGACGAACCTACGCCGGACGATATCAGGAGAAAACTTGCAATACAACTGATTTTGCCAATAATCTGTTATCCTGAATGTATGTACAGCAAGTTTTTTTTTCACGTAACACGTTATGTATTTGGTTTGGCTAAATTTGATCACATTTCTAGTTCGAGATCTCGCCTATTGGGCTGTGAGATATCTGAGTACTTTCACCGATGAAGTTGATTGCAGCAAACAATACACAAATTAACACGTATGGAAAAGAAAATACCTAACATTGGATCTGGGTTTAAATAGAAAGTTTGGTTGGGCCGATTATAGGGGCTGATTTTTTGCGTAATTTCGACATTTTAGTAGACATTAAAAACAAACTCGTTGTAGATCAAAAGACAAAATTGCATACAGTGTGCCAGACTGCCAAACTGCCACAAAATACTGTTTCACTTAGGGGAGCAGATAATTTCCACAGGCTGTTGGTGCGCTACGCCGACTTGACGGACGACTCAAAGAAGCTAGTGAAGCAGGCAACATCAACTCAGCACTATATAGAAACGAAAGGAGCACCTATCACGCAGAAGCTACGACGGTTCTCACCCGAAAAGCTAGAGATTGCGAAGAAGGAGTTTGAATACCTTCTGGAGCGAGGAATATGTCAAAGGTCGAAAGGACAGTGGGCCAGTCCTTTACATATGGTTAAGAAGCCGAATGATTCCTGGCGTCCCTGCGGGGATTACAGACTCTTAAATACTAAGACTACCGCAGACAGCTATGCCGTTCGTCACATCCAGGAGTTCGCTTGTGAGTTGCACGGAAAGGTTATATTTTCCATAGTGGACTGCAAGAAGGCGTATCACCAAATCCCAGTCAACCAGGCGGATGTGCCGAAAACTGCGATAATAACACCATTTGGATTGTTTGAATTCAAATTTATGACATTCGGACTACGGAACGCGGCCCAAACGTTCCAGAGGTTTATTGATGAGGCCGTTAGGGGATTACCGTTTGTTTTTCCGTATTTGGACGTTGCACTGGTGGCGTCTAAGTCAGCGAAGGAACATGAAATGCATCTCGAGCAGTTACTCCAGCGATATAGGGAATATGGTATTGTTATAAACAGCGATAAATGCCAAATCGCGCAGCCTGAGGTGGAGTTTCTAGGCCACCTGGTGACGCGAAACGGCATAAGACCTCTGCCACGAAAAGTTAAAAGGCATCCTCGATTGCAAGCAACCGAAGGAAGTGCACGAGCTCCGCAGGTTTTTGGGAGTGGTAAATTTTTACCGGAGGTTTTTGCCACACGCCGCCGCTGTCGAGGCGCAAAAAATTATGGACCCTTGTAAGAAAAAGGACCACACCAAGCTTAACTGGACGACTGAAACAACTAGGGTGTTTGAAGAACTAAAAACGCAATCGGCCAATGCCACACGGATTGCATATTCCGTTAGACTTTGCTATGGGGGCGGCGCTACAACAACCAGTAGACGGAGCGTGGCAACCATTAGGTTTCTTTTCGCAGATATAGTACCTTCGATCGCGAGCTGCTGGCGATATACAAGTGGATAGAACACTTTCGCTATTTTCTGGAAGGTACCAGCTTCACCATATTAGCGGATCATAAGCTGTTGGTACATGCATTCGACCAGAAGTGGGAGAAACTTTCACCCCGTCAGACACGGCAGTCAAATTTTATAAGCCAATTTTCAACCGACATCAGGCACGTCAGCGGAGCTGAGAACTTCGTCGCCGATTTGCTACCCCGGATTGAGACATTTACAACGCCATCGCCAGTGGATTTGCAGTTGCTACACAACGAACAAAAGAGCAGCATCGAACTAAGGGAGTAACTAAACGGCAGCACCTCACTTCAGTTGGTGAGACACACGCAGCCAGGTACGAACCTGGAAGTAATTTGCGATAAGTCGACTGGTCAATTACGGCCATATATTCCGACACCGCTGCGGCAAGTAGTTTTCAACGCGGTGCATGGCTTAGCGCACCCTGGGGCAAGGTCAACTGTTAAACTCATATCCAAGGACTTCGTCTGGAAAGGCATGAGTTCAGATATACGCGCGCGGGTACGAAGTTGCCCTGCTTGTCAGCGGTGCAAGGTTTCGCGGCACACGAAGAGTGAGTTGGAGACATTCACTGTGCCTAGTAGACGCTTTGAGCATATAAATATCGACATAGTGGGTCCTTTTCCATCATCGAACGGCTACACTTACTGTTTGACATGCGTCGATAGATTTTCGCGGTGGATCGAAGCTATTCCCCTGACGGATATGACAGCAGAAACCGTGGCCAAGGAGTTACTTAAAGGGTGGATAAGCAGAATCGGTGTTCCGAAGTTTATCACCACTGACCAAGGACGACAATTCGAGAGCAGCCTTTTTCAGCAACTAGTTAAGCTCCTGGGGGCTAACCACATACATACCACAAGCCACCATTCCCAGGCGAACGGATTGGTTGAAGGATGGAATCGGATCTTAAAGGCCGCTTTGAAATGCCACAAGGCTAACTCCAATTGGGTTGACGTTTTACCCATAGTACTCCTTGGTCTAAGAACAGCAGTAAAGGATGATCTGGGAGCATTGATAGCAGAAATGCTTTACGGACAAACGATTCGTTTGCAATGTTTGATCCTCAACGACGCTAATGACCCATCCGTAGATGCAATTCCTCGAGTAAAATATGCACATATGTACACGCACAACCTCCCACAATGCTTTACCTTTAAATAAGGCATTGGAATAAAACGATTCCAATGTTTTTCTAGTATTAGTTGGATTATTTTCACTATGGCATAATTCGTATCAAGATTGGTCTTTATGGTGGTACCATAAATATCCAACGCACTTAGAGGATGATAAATTAACGAATTGTTTTCAGTTTTTCCATCGAAGCGAAAGAGTTCAGCGCATTCTGGATTTTCAGAATATGCACTGGAAAATGAAAATATAATTTAAGGCATTTTTTATCACCTTCTGAATAGATGCTTACTCAAGAGCTATTTTTTGTGACAACATCTTTCTTTTTGGCTCTATCATGGGCCACGATTTTCTTAACGCTGAGATTTCTAATATCGTAAAACTTGTCACCAGAAGTTTGACTGTGGATTCGTAATGGGTAAGAACGACTTTGAATTTGCTTCGGCGCTTGAAGCTGACCTTCATAATAGTTTTGAACTAGAAATTTCTACGTTAACTAATATGCCGCCGAGTAGAAAAAAAATTAAATTTTTAAAGGGCCGCAATCATGGTGGAATAATAACACCATGGGCCGCAATGATACCTATTAGTTGTTTACCATGAAAAGAAGTCGTTCAGAAATTTTACATTTTCGTTTTCTAAAATTTCGACAATTCAAAGAGTTTTAGCTTGTTTACAAAGAGTGTTTGGAAGTCATGATAACACAAACGGCAACACGAAAAAACTAATGCGACTGTTTTTGGAAAGACAAAAACACGAAAATTAATTAAAGAATATTAGGACCGTTAACCTGCCCTCAAAGTATGTCACTTAAATTTCAAAAGCCAGTATAAATATGTATGTAAGTGAATGCAAGTGCAAGTTTGAAATATAAAAAATGGAAAGCATATAATGATCCGTCTTATAATTACAATAAGCGTAATAACAACTTATGTGTGGACTAATTTAATTTAGGTAAAACAAAATTCAGTAAGTTCTTGCTAAATAGAATCACTTATGGATATACATTCAAACATTAAATTTCTATTGACAGAATCAGAGCAACAGATAACATGTAAGACGGTGCTAATTAGACATTCGGAACTTTGCAAAAACCAGTCTGCTTTGTCTTAAACGCAAAAGTGCAAATTCATCTTTGTCGCCAGTTTCAGACTTCACTTAAACATATATACGAAACAGCATGCTTGGCGTGAGCTTTGTGTTGCACATGGGGCATTTGCGTGTCAACCGTAAAGCTTGGCGTATGCAATTAGCACAGAATACATGGCCGCATTTGGTAGAGGTAGGTTGATTATTAATGCTGCTTTCCATGCATACTGCACACATTAGTGGTGCACGACCGCTGTTATTGTTGTTGTTATTGTTGTTGCTGCTCGTGCTGTTGTTGGTCGTTACAGTGGCGACGGAAACGTTAGAAGGCGCACCAGGCGCTCTATTTGCACGATTCTTATTTTGGTGGTTGCTCCGATTCTTTACGTTGCCAATACTTGGTCTTGAAGTTGCTGCTGAAACGGAATTACGCGATGAACTGGCAACATTTGGCCTTTCCCCAGACATATACGAGGATAATGAGCGTCGCCATGAAGGTCTATAGTCGTTTATTGGTTGTGCAATCGGAAGTTCGGCTGTTCCGCCACCATTTATAGTACCAATTACATTCACATCGGAATTTGGAAACATCCTATCATTAAAGTTGGTTCTACAATGGAAGATCTTTCGAACGATTGTAGGCGTGCAAAGATCAACGATTTCATCTTCACTTGGCGTTACAATGATAACATCGTCACTCATATTTAATTGATTCGGAGGTCTTATTGGGGCAGGTATATGCATTGAATCACTAAGATCAACCAAAACTACGTCTGGAGTTGGAGAGCTATTCTGATTTAGAACTTGTTCGGAAACACGCTGGGGAGTATTACCTGCTGAAATATATACAATGAAAGCTTAGACCTTTTGAATTTATATATGTATGAATGTTTTATTGTTTTAGCTTACGAGATCTATTGACAGCTCCACGGGCTGGGCTGTTTGGTGAAGTTGAATCTAACCGCCCCTCGATCTGTTGCTCTTGTTCCTGTGCTACTGAGCGTAAATTATGCTCCAACATTTCACAAAAACGATCAACTAGAAAGTAATACAGATAAGACGTATATAATTGTAATAATATTGGCTAAATATTTGATTATTTAAATTGATTTGTAAGCTTTACTTCTGTTGATTTCCCTGTCAATTTCTCTGGTTGATGGTGTTGAAAGGGGTACTCTGTTTAGTGGGCACAGGCGTGGTGTCTTTGGAGACTTGGGCGAATTAGGACTTGAATTTGAGCCGCCAAGTTGGCCACTGCTGTCGCTGTTGTTGTGTGATCTGCGCCCAAGTAATGGCGTCGCCGTTACTGCTGTAGGTCGTCGTGGCGTTTCTAATATTTCGTAAACGGATGCTATCAGTGAACTTGTGTCAGCTATCAAATCATCCAAATAGCCGTTCTAAATAGCAGAAATAAATGGAACCGTTATGGTATGTACTTCAAATATATAATGCGCGCGCTCCAACTTACCTCAGGCGAACGGCTGGAGTCCCTTTTAATATCCGACATACCTTCGCCTTTACTTTGGATTTACTTCCTTTGGAACTACTCTAGAATTTCAAAAGTCTAGCAAGGAAAATAGGTATAAACGCACAGAATTATCCAAATTCAACAACGCAGGAACAGAAATTTTGCATATATATATGGATCATGAAAGCAACTGAAATATTTGACAAATAGTGATGTGCTGAATTGGCGGTACCCAACACTCGGTACCCAAAAATTCAAAAGATTTCCATTGCTCTTCAAGAGCAATATATATCAGAGCTTATATCTTGCCATCTATTGCCGGCAATTTGGTAGTTTGACAGCTACATGTTCATTTGCATGAAAACTTCGTGGCGGCAACATTATTGATATTTTAATATAAAAGCAAATATTGAACTGTTTTCTGCTAAAATATTTGTTATTATGTAATAGGATGTAAAATAGCCTATTTTCTAAGCTTTTTAAGTGATTAAATCCGGGAAAAATAAGTTTTAGAATCTATCTCACAGATGCTTATATCAAGATATAAAAAGCCCACACAAATATTGCCACTGATATAATTTACATATATCTAGCGACCAAAATGACAGCTGGACAGCAATACATTTTAGCCTATGGAAACGGCCAGTAAACAATACTTACTTTTCGGTACCCAATACCGATTCTTTACACTGGCTACACACGACAAACATGTGCGCCTACATGCTCGCTGTTGTTTGCCACAGACGGTGAGCGGCTCATATGTGATTTTGTCGTCATAGCGGAAAGATGAATAGCAAAGACGCCGATGATGAAATTCAAATGCTTATGACTTTGGTTTTTTAATATATGTGTTACTTAAATTTATTTATATTTTACTTCTATGTATGCACATACATACACATATAGTAATTTGGTCTCATTCATCAAAAATTCAATAACTCACATGACTTGGCTGCACTTCTCGCACACTGCAAGCAACAACACAAAGTGAAGTTGTTGTTTTTGTTGCCAATGCGATGCTCGCAAACCACGCTACAAACGTGGAGCATGCTCGCTGAAAATAAAAATTTTTTGATTTTTTGCGAGCATGCTCGTTAACCGCCATACACACGACGAGCATTCACCGCAAGCCGAGCATGTACGCGCACATGTTCGTCGTGTGTAGCCACTGTTACACTTCCCAATAACAATCCGCTGGCGTCGCTTTGATACCATGATTCAATAATAAAAGGTTTGCTCAAAAAGCAGTTTTCTCGCTCCCTCTGTCAAAAGCCTAATGTCAATAATGAGCAAACCTTTAATTATTGAATCATCCTTTGATACAAGCGCGAGTAATAGCCCGAACACAATGAAACATTATTTTAACACGTACTCTTATGTAGATAACTATTTAAGCGACGAACGGGCTACGCGACGGCTGTAGTTGTGCCTAGATCTATTTTTCCGGGGACAGATAAGGTTCTTCCTCTTCTTTTATGTCAAACTCATACAAATCCATAATGTCGCTGCCACTTTCAAAAAAAATCATGTCGTTATCGACAAGGCGTTTAGATAATGAAGATCACAAATTGGAAGCTGTGTTCGGAACTTAACGCCAGTGCTTGCTACAATGAAAGCTAAGCAGCGAATACTTTGGTCACTAAATTAACATACCAGCGGCAGATAAATCAAAATTTATTATCAACAGTTGCATTACAAACAATATTTCTTGCACGCATTTGATAAAGAAGGAAAATTAAGTCAGGGTTGAAAAGTTGAGAGTTGGCCATCTTTGCGCGTTGTCCAACTTTGGTTATGTCAAGACCTTCATATAAATGCATGTATTCATAGGGCCCTGTCACACGATCAGTATTTATTGACGTGATCCAAGTATCGCGATATTTATTGACGGTGTAGCATGCAATATTGATGGATCGTGATCCATATTGCAAAACTTCTAATAATTTTGAAATCTGGATCGCGGATCGCAATACCGTCAATAAATATTGAACGTGTAGCACTTTCAAAACGCGATCCATACATTTCGTCAGTACATCTTTTACTCTCATAATGCGAACATCGGCTCTTCCTTCGCTCTCGGAGCTTAAAATCTTTCAAAACAAAGTTTAATTAATATTGGAAATTTTAAAATAATTGTGGAATGCATTCTCTGTTAATTATACGTACAAAATAAAAATAATTTCTTGCGTCACAATAAGCTTTCAGCACAAAAATTATGCAAATACTGACGCGATAAATATTGAACATGTAGCATTCGTGCGCGATCCAAATATCGTGATAATTACTGCCCGTGTGACAGAGCCCATAGTCAGCTGTCGAAGCGACGCCCAAGTAGGAATTTAAAAAAACATCGATGTATCGAGCAACATCGATGGTCATGGCTTCAAACATCGATGTTCGTCGACGCGACATCGATATTTTCGATGCATCGATGCTTTTCGGCATCCCTAGAAACAACCCTGCGTTCAAAAGTGGTGAATAATTGGCTGCTGCTGTTTTTATGTGAAAATAGTTATTTATTAAAATATTTATAGAGAACAATAAAACCTATCAGAGCAACCTAAAATAAAAATAAAAATAGTGCGTCGCTAGAAACTCGCAACTAGTGTAAGTTTTTTTTTCCTATTCAACCGCTTAGCTTATCATTCATTTATTGAAGTTGCTGCATGAAATGGTGGAACGATTTTTTTTTTTTATTGGTGTTCGAATATGTTATTTGTTGCGCTTGTAGATCAGCTATAATCCGATGTACTTGCAATTCAGTTGATAAAGCTTAAACCATCTCACCTTTCATATTTTGTTTGAAAGCTTAATCGAATGTGAAAATAAAGTTTTGAGAGATATTGGGTTATGAAAGGACCTTCATTGGATGCCATATGTTTCCTGGTCAAAAATATAATTATACCAAAGGGACTTCCGCAACAGTTATAGAATAGTGATGATCACCCTTTCTTGTTTCGGCAGTCTTTGTATTGCATTAAATATTTATTTGAATTTCTTCATTTCATTGCAGGAAACCTAACTACCCCTAATTACAGGTGGATTACAAAATTGGTTGAAGCCTTCAACTTGAATGTTTGTATGTTCATGCATTATTCAATTTTTTCGATACATCTATACAAATTCTCTTCTATTCCCAGATTTACATCGATAAAATCTAAAGAAAGATATTCATCGTAAGTACCCAAACGCTGATATTTAATACATTTGTGAAATATGTACATTAGACTGCATCACCAAAAAAAGTTGCGGTTTTTCGCGCGGATTATAAAATCTATTATATTTTAAGACGTCCACCAAAATATTTCGGAAAAATATTAAGATTTAAGCGAGCTGGACCGATTTGAAAATATCTCCAAAAATGAAGTTTTTTATGAATAAAAATAGTTTCTTAAGGAACTTTTTGAAAAAAGCCCCTCAGATGACAAATTAGATTAAGCTTATCTGCAAATGGTCTGATGTAGACTTATGGGATCTCAGTAGAAAGGTATTTTCACACTGTTTTTATTTCTGGCCAAAAAAACGTCATTCGTGTCCCATCTTGTTTTTTCGAATACCAACACAACTTAATTCAACTTTGAATGACGTTCGTTCATCCTACTTTTCTCTTCCATCCTTTGAAAGAGTTTATTAGCAAAGAAATAAAAAGGGTGAGAAAACACCTTTCCAATGACACCTCTTAAGTCTAAATCGGAAGAGTTTAGGTTCAGTTATTCAAGTTTACCAATCTTTGAAAAAAGTTAAAAAACAACATCAAAAATCTCATCATTACGATTCCGTTCAAATTTATTATTTTTATTTTTTTTTTAATATTTTTATGCAAATATTTTAAGTATAAACCGTTTTGTCATTTGAGGGGATTTAAAAAAAAAATCTTTAAGAAACTATTTTTAATCATAAAAAACTCCATTTTTGGAGGTATTTTCAAATAGATCCAGCTCACTTAAATCTTAATATTTTTCCGAAATATTTTGGTGGACGTCTTAAAATGTAATAGGTTTTATAATTCCAATGGAAAAATAGTACCGATTTTTTTTTGTATGGGGAGTGATGCAGTGTAATGTACATATGTAGGTCTTTCCTAACTGAACTCTGTAGTTGTTAAGAAGCTCCAAAAACGGTTCTGTGGCTCTTAATATCCAACCGAATATACAGGGCCCCTAGAAACGTTTACAGACTCCTGGGGAACCTTTGGAAAATGGTCTAAAATTTGCAATTTGATATTGGAAATATAAACTTGTTAAACAGTTTTTTTGTGTAGAATACCTTTCGGATTTGGCGGCTTTCGGCCGCGCTTAGAAAAAATTACCCTCATCAGTCCAACTTCGGCTACGCTGACCACGGTATTTTAGCGCAGAACTTCTTTTTTGTGTAGGCGGCCTTTGACCGCGGTTAGGGATGATTATAACCCTTACTGCGTATAATTCTTATTTCTGTGTTGTCAAAGGTATACAACATTTCGACTGCTGAGTGGACCTATCGACCTATCTCGGCAGCCAGTTCGAAAACGCACTTCAAAATGTATTAAAAATGTGAGGAGGTTTTCGAATTGGCTGCGGAGATCGGTCGATCTTCCACTCAGCAGTCGATTTCTTGTGCATATAACTCCGGCTGCGGCATCCATAGTATTTTGCGTAGAACTCACTCCGAAATTCACAAAAAAGTGTATATTTCAGACCGAATATATTAATAAATTAGGCACCGAAAATTTCAAAATAAGGCTTTAAAATAAAGTTTAGAACCCCCCTTAACTACATGTGTGTGATAAACTTTTTTGATCGGGTCACCCATTCGGGCACAGTAGCCCGAAATCATAGGGCAAATAACTAAACCGTACCCATTTTATTGATTTTAGGTCGTTTTATCTTATTGTTTTTTTTTTTTTTTTGTGGAAAAACAACCCTAGTTTACATTTAGTAGCAGTTGTAGCCGCTATTGCGGAGATTACCTCACCTCCTCATCAGACGTTTCCACCCAGTTCACTGGGATTTGAACCAGCCATTCATCTTAAAAAGCCATAAATACTTGTAATTTATTTATTTATTTATATATTTATCATCAGTGAACACATATTTTCATACTGACTACTAAGAAACTATCTAACTACTAATTATTATTAAGGTAGTTTAAGAGGATATTATTTAATATCCCTCCATCCCAATTAATAAGCAGCTTGAATTGTAACAAATAATCGTTTGAAAAAGGAGATA